GTTAGGGCTTGGAGAAACTTTCTGTTGGAACCCATTTGTGTGTATTCACAGAGACCATGAAGAAGAATCAGGGTAAAAACAGAGAAGCTGTGCATTTAGGTAAACAGCTCAATTTGTCTCTTTGACTCCAATTATTTTGGGTTGGGTGGTATTTGGAGAATTGTGTGTCTGGAACAGGAATTCCAACCTCCACAATGGTAAGAAAAGTGGGTTATGATGACATAGATTGAACATATGGCATCTTAACTTATCTATAGATTGATGTGGGTATGTCTACATAATAAATAATATAAATATCTTGATGGTGGTTTTGAAATCCATGTAAGAAAGAGCTATATATTTTTTTTTGCTTCCTAGTTCTCTTACCTTAGGTGAGCTCCCCCAGATATATTGCTATACACTGCTGAGAGATGCACAGCAAACACCTCTGGACTACTTGGATTTGGGACAACATGAAATAAAATAGTTTTGCTTTGTTCACCATTTAAAAATATAACAGTGCCTGGAAAAAGTAAATGAGAAACTAATTGTTAGGAAACTACTAGTTAGTTGAATGGGAATAATACTTTATGATTATATCATGAAGCAATTCAGTTTTATCAGATATCTGGTTAATACTCCAAAAGAAATACGTTCTCTTTATCTCAGTACTCCATTTGTTAAACCATAATTCAACAAAGCCTATCACCACTTGAAGTCCTCATGTGCTGAAAATACTTTTAGACTAAAAGTTATGTTAACATTCTAATTTTAAATTTAAAACATAATAAGGATAAAAGGGCATTCATATCTTCATCTCTATGGGAGAACACAAGATATAAGATACCCTGTGCTATTCATTATATCTCTGGTTATGATATATTTTTATGTTCCTAAAATAACTATTTTCCCCTCAGGATATCAATCAATTTGGAGTCAGCAGGGCTGTTTTATTCAATACTGTGCCATATTTAGTATGGAAATTTCTCTTTTGGGTTTTGCAGAAAAAATGTAACTCTACACAAGATTATGAAAAGAGAAAAACATCTGAAAATCCTTTCTGAAACTTTGACTAGCTTATATACCCAGTGTTGCCCAGGTGCCGGAGGGGGCACTGCCCCGTTTTTATCGCTTATTTCTCTTTTCTTCCTCTCATATCTTTTCTAGTTTCCTTGTCCTTCCTTCCTTCCTTCCTTCCTTCCTTCCTTCCTTCCTTCCTTCCTTCCTTCCTTCCTTCCTTCCTTCCTTCCTTCCTTCCTTCCCCTCCTCTGTTTCTCCCTTCTTTTTCTGTTTTTTTCCCTTCTCTTCCTCTTTCTCTCTTCTCTAGCTCTGAAAGGTCCTACAAGACAATGTCTCCATAGTAAAGTGGCTCTCTTTGCAATTCTTTCCTTCCTCCCTCCCTTTCCCTCATACACGTGTCACCTTTCTTTACCAGGAACATCAAGAGTGTCAATTCACCTAGCAATAGCCAAACTAGTGACATCACAGAAGGCCACTTAACCAAACAACATCCTTTGTGGTACAAATAGTCAGATGGATTGACAGACAGACAAGAAATTTATGTCACTACTAAGGTAAATGCTTTTGCTGTTTTGCTTACAATACAGTAGTAGACTTAACAGGAAAGGCAACACATAAATATTATGAAAACCCATGAAATAACACAGTTGGACAACCTCATATTGTTGAGAGGAACAACAAGAAAGCATGAGTCAGATCTGTTCTGGTGGGACAAATGCTAATATCTAGCCTTCTTGATAATGATCAAGTAGTGGGAATGAATTAATGGTATAATAATACTCTTCGGGCTTGAAGGAAAAATGATGTCCCTTTCAATAAAACTTGGTAAGCATGCGATCACACTTATTTGGTCTGCTGACTGTACTTGAGGGCCAGCAAATAATAACACTTACCAGATGCTGGAGTAATGTACCCTGGGCGAAGGTATTCTGGATTAAGGCCAGCTGGATATCCAGAGCTCCAGACAACTGTTATAGAGCCATATACTCCTTTTCGAATGATCAGAGCTTCGGTTGTCCCTGCTGTAATATTTGTAAGTTGCAAGACAACAGAATCAAAGGCAACCTATCAAAACAGGGGAACATATTGTTACCGTTAAGAAATGTGTGCAGATAAGTATAAGTGCCAGAAATCAAAGCAAGAACACAACAGGATTGTGGAAAATGCACCCTTGTAACATTTGGAATATTTTACCATATTTTGTATGGAATGACTGCAGGTATTTTAAGAACCAGGAGTGTACTCTTTTCTAAAAAAAATTAAAAGATAAAGGGAAAGGTTTCCCCTTGACATTAAGTCTAGTTGTGTCCGACTCTGGGAGGTTGGTGCTCATCTCCATTTCTAAGTCGAAGAGCCGGCATTATCCATAGACACCTCCAAGGTCATGTGGCTGGTGCCGTTACCTTCCTCCTAGAGTAGTATCTATTGATCTATTCACATTTGCATGTTTTCGAACCGCTAGGTTAACAGAAGATGGGGCTAACAGCAGGAGCTCATCCTGCTCCCCGGATTCAAACCTGCAACCTTTCGGTAAGCCACTCCAGCAGCTCAGCAGTTTAACCCACTGCACCACCTAAAACAGTTCTAGAATGTACAAAACCAGGGCAAAATTCTCCCCATGGCCCCTAGAGGACTTGGGGTGGCTTTTAAATAGCAAAAAAGAAAGTAAAAAGGGTAGGTATGATCACCACCACCACCCTCCACCACCCTCTGGCAGTCACTAACCCCTCAGCACAAAGTATTCTTCCACACAGTTTCAACATTCAACATTCTTCAAGATATATGTTCCCATACATATGTATTTACAGCAGAATTCAATCTAATGCAAATATGCTTAAAGTAGCTAAATTTTCCCCCCCCTAAAAGTATCATGAGAGTATTTGAGTTGTAAAAAAAAAAATATGCAGTGCTGCTTTTAGCATCTGGTGCTCTTTAAATTCAGAGCAAACAAATAAAAATAAACATTAAAGACAGAAAACTGCACAATTTTATATTGCTTTAATCTATTCAAATGCTTCAACTTGAGACACTTTGGAAATTCTTAACAACACCATTCATATTCAAAGCTTTAATCTGCCCTCTGGCGGTAAGGATGTGGAACCGTTTTAAATCTCATTACCTGAGAATTGGCAGCTTCTTTGGGAACTGGAATAGAGACTGACATTCCTGTCTCCGATATCTTAGGCACAGTCTTGGCACTGACATTAACAAGGGTTATGTTCTTCAGTTCCAAAGTAAAATTCAAGCCCAAGAAAAGGAATACCTGGAAGGAAACAGACACCAACTAGCAAATAAAACAACAAATTCATAAAAGTAACTTTTCAAGAAGAATGATTTCAGACCAGAAGTTTTACCCCAAAAAAAACACCCACAAGTAAGGGTAGCTGACCAGTTGGGCTGAATGAGTTTGGCTCTGTTGTATAGCTGGCCCTCAAAAAAAGAAAAGAAAAGAAAAGAAAAAAAGACAACAGGGGAAGGTGTATTAGGTAAAGAAAGGGAAGAAGGAATGAAAGGAAGAAAAGAGAGAGGGAGGAGATGAATAAGGGAAATGGAGGAAAGAAAGAGCCACAAAGAAAGTCTGCCCGCTATTCCCAGTGTGTTACCATGCAGGCATTATATGATAGGCCTTCTCAGAGTTGGAGAATGTAGAAAGCAGGAGGGCAGCAGCCCTTCTGACATTTGGGCAATGCGGCATAAGGATGTTAGCATCTTAAGGTTTTATTAATGATATTTATTTATTTATTATTTACAGTATTTATATTCCACCCTTCTCACCCCACAGGAGACTCAGGACATATTACAGTGCACATATACATGGCAAACATTCAATGCCATAGATACACAACATATATCGAAAACACAGAGGCAATTTAAGCTTCATGAGGGTATGCTCGAATTCTGGCCACTGGGGGAGCTGTCACTTCACGATCCACTTGTGACACCAAGCCCTTGATGGAGTACTTCCTCATTCTTTTGCCTGAAGCTGGAGATTTTTATGATGCCGTAAATTAGTTTAATTTGCCTCCCCACATAAGTGGTACCTAAATTTCCTACTTGACAGATGCAACTGTCTTTCGAGCTGCAAAGGTCAACAGCAAGCTAGAGAAAAGGTTGGGAGCTTACTCCGACCTGGGCTGGCTTTGAACTCATGACCTTTCAGTCAGTGGTGATTTAATGCAGCTGACTCCTAGCCAGCTATGCCACAGGCCAGTCACTGCTGAGGTTCTCTCCCAGCAAAACTTAGGTTTTCATTCAAAATGTATTTTCCCCCACAAACCTATCAAGGTTTTGGTTTGGTTTTGTTTTGCAATACTAGCATTGTTATACAAAAAAGAACAATTAGTACAAAGAACCCATGTGTGGGTTTTTTGGAAAGCTATTTTTGTGAAAACATACAATTGGCATATACTTTTCAGAATCTCATTGTGTGTTTTGTGATATATATATATATATTATATATATATATAGCACAAAAGAATGGGGGATTTTGCTCAAAACAGGTTTTTTTTTGCATGGAAAATGTGTTTCTCACTAAAAGAAAATTTTCATTAAAAAACCTTGCTTATGTGTTTGCTTGGATACATGAATGTACATGCAATATAACTTGGGTTTTTCCCCCATGGAAAACAACAATTTTGTATTATAAGGTATTTATTTGTCGTGTCAGAGCAACCAGTCCATTATATTACATTTCTAACAGAACAAAGCAAACAAACNGCTTAAATTTTCCAGATAAGTTCAGAGCCCTACCATATCTTGCATTTCTTTTGAACAATGTGATACACATTGGTCTTTTTCACTGTAAAAACTTTAAAATTGTGATCCAGAATTGACCAAATTATTTTTTTAAAAAAAAACATATATGGGTAAGAGTCAGATACAATTGGGAGGATATTATTATGTCTTAGTAACAAACAAGTTTAAATAGAAAGTTAATCTGCCTTGCAGAAAGCTCAAGGCACTGCGGCTGTAGCTAAGACGGAATGTGGCAGAGACACGGCTCATTGAAATACACTGGCATAATTTGTTTTCTTGGCAGCTGGGTAAAAATAGGACAGGATATGCGCTGTCTATATTAGGGAGATATGTTCCTATCTAGCCCAGACATATTTCATCAGTTTTCCTTTCTGATAATCCGATTGCCATTTTTATAGTCCATAAAAATCATGGGCCGACATGATAGGAAATGACTTTCATATATCTTCTTGCTGCCACTCTATTTTGCTACATTGCTTCGTGACTGACTGACAGCACTGTAATCAACTTTGGGTTGGATTCAGTGACGCCACAATCTACTTTTGCTAATGATTAAAGGCATTTATTCCCTGGCTTTTCCCTGCTTCTCATCTTCCCCTGTAACCAATGCCATATGGATGAGACAACAGGGCCAACAGCCTTCTGGGCCAACAGCTTTTGACATATGTGCTACATATCAAAGATAGTTTCATCATGGCACTATCTTTACATGGTGCTGTGATCATGTACTCCTGTGAATCTTTGTTGTTGACAGTACTGCAGCAGGTAGGGTCTGTTAGATTCAGATAGGCTTTATTTCAACTTAAAAATAAATAAAAATATTTTGGAAATAATCCAAAATAACAAAACAAATATCATTATTCAACCCAAGTGCAAGATCTATGGGCTCAAACCCAACCTTAAAAACTCTGGCATAGACACTGAGAACTGGGAAGCCCTGGCCCTTGAGCGCTCCAGCTGGAGGACAGCTGTGACCAGCAGTGCTGCAGAATTTGAGAAGGCACGAGTGGAGGGTGAAAGAGTGAAACGTACTAGGAGGAAGGCGCGTCAAGCC